GCGGCAACCAGCAGAGATTCCGTCACCGTCAGCGCGGACCCCGCAGGGAACGTGCCGGTCAGCACAAGCGCACCGTTCAGCGCCTCCACATCGCACACCGACAGCTCCACCGGCCCGCTCTCGTCGCTCCCCGCCGCACCGCGCAACGCTCCTCCGCCCATCACGTACAGCACAGCACCGTTCAGCAGCGACACGTTCTGCACAACGATCCGCACGCCGTCCCGCGCCATCCACGGCACGTAGAGCACAGTACTCACGCCGTCCAGCACAACGTGGCGCAGCGTCACCTCGCCTGCACCGGCGGGCACAACGAACACCGACCGCACCGTCACGCCCTCGCGGAAAAACACACTCGACGCGGTGCCCACAGCGGGCGGCAACGCAGGAGCTCCCACAGGCAAGCACGCCTCGCCGTACCCGCCGCTGCCGCAATCGCACACGCACACACCGTTCTTCATGCTCGCAGACGCCGTCCCGGGCGCGTAGCAGTGCGTGTCCCTGTCGCAGGCGTCGCACCCAGCAACGTCGATGCTCCCAGCGTCGCCAAAACCAGCCGCTGCGTACTCCTCCGCCGTCGACAGGGCACGTCCACCAGCGTCGTTGCACGCCACCCTCACATGCGCCCCAGCCGCAAGCGACAGGCTCAGCGACAGCATCCGCGGCAGCAGCGCTCGGTTGCGCACAAAGCTCAGCGTGCTCCCAGCAGCGGTCACGGCGCCAGCGGCGTGGAGCATCTCCCTCGGGACGCCGTCGTGCACGTTGCCCTTCGCCAGCAGCATCGACCCGCCAGCCAGGCCCACCGTCGAATAAAACGCCACCGCGTAGTCCTCCGTCGAAGAGAATTCGCTCCGCACAAGCGCCACAGCGGAGCCCGACACGCTCACAGCCCCACGCACAGACACCGCGTGCTTGCACAGCAGGAAGTCGCTGTCAACAAACGCCACAACAGAGCCGCCGCTGGCAGCAACACCGCCCTCCACCGACACGCACAGCCCCAGCGCCGTCTGCACCAACAGCCCGTCCACGTACAGCGCACCACGCGACGACAGCGCCACGCCGCCAACAAACAACACGCCAACAGCGTCGCGGAACACCGCCGCCACATGCGTGCGCGCGATGGTCAGCACGCTCCCCGTCAAACTCACGTTGTGCAACACGAGGCACGCGGAGGCATCGCCAAGGCCGTAGTCGCCGCGGTACGCAACACGCGCCTCTGCAATCAGCACCGAGTCCACCAAAGTGACGCGCGAGCCCGGCGGAAATCGGTTCGCCACCAGCACGCCGCCGCCAGAGCGCGACTCAAGCCCGCTGATCAACACATCAACGCGCTCGCCAGCAGGCGGGTCGGACAGCCACCCAACAACGTACAGGCTCGCTCTGCCCAAAAACGTGCAGTTCGACAGCGTCACGTTGCGCACGCTCCCTGACATCGACTCCACGTCCACCACGACGTCTGCCGCAAAGGTCACACCAACGTAGCACGCCACCGACGTCCCGAAACCGGCGTTCACCTCCACATCCACACGCACGTCCCGCACGCACAAATCAACGCCTTCAGTGCTCGGTGGCTCGGGGACAGCAACGGGCAGACACGCATCGCCGTGGCCGCCCTCCGCGCACGTGCAGGCGCAGCCATCACTCGAGGCCGTCGTCGTGTACGCGGGGAAGCACGACGCAGCAAGGGCGCATGGATCGCCGCAGGTCATAATGCTGGCATTGTACACGGACGGTATGTCGTAACTAGCCCCCTCCTCGCCGTTCACAGTGTTGCACGCGGCCACAATCGCTCCGTTTGTGAAATCGCTGGACCCCGTGGATATCCGCAGAGCTGTCGGCTTGTTAGTGCTGGACATGAATTGGTTGCCGGAAACAGACACCGTGGAGTCGCGGAGATCCATCGTGTAGTGTATGTATACAAAGGCTTCCGATGGGGATTCACGGCAGAGGTTGCCGCTCAACTGCAGCCAGGAGTTGTAGTAGATGTTGGAGGAGTGGCTTGGAAAAAACACAACCAAGCTTCCCTGCATGTCGTTGCCCTGAAACACGACCGCTGAATTGAACTCCACGTCTAAGGTCCGAATAAATAACACGAAGCACTTCACCGGCCTCGTCACAAGGTTGCCTCGGATCACCACGGCAGAGTTGTTCAGTACACTCAGCGACGAAGACTGTCTATTCCCCTCAAGATGTATCAGCGTACCATCGCCGCCATCCATATGAAACGCGTTGCCCATCACCGCAAACACGGAGTGCCACGACACCCTCAGCAAAGAAACAACGATGTGAATGGCGCCTGACGATGCCCTCACGGTCTGAAACACATTGCCAGTGAACAACACTGCGGAGTCGTTGCTGATCACCATTCCATTCATCACAACACACGACGGCCTCCTAATGTCCAAACCCGGCCGAGGGATCAGCCTCGTGACAGTGAAGCGATTCCCGCTGATCGTGATGTTCGTGTGCGGCGGAAACACACCCTCCGGGCTGAGCAGCGCGTCACGGAACGTGTTGCCGGTGACGAAGATGTTCAGCGACCCAACAGCAGCGTGCGCGTTGCCCAACACCAACAGCACGGCGCCGTCCCTCCACGTGCATCCATCAAACGTGACATTCACCACGTCGCCCGTCATCGCCCCAACCAGCACCGTCAGGCTCATGCCGCCCCCGCTGAACGTCACGTTGCGGTAGCACAGCCACGACAGCCCGCCGCCCACAGCCTGCGCCACCTCGGGGTACACCATGTCGCTGATGCACTCACCAATCGGCGGTGGCGGCGGTGGTGGCGGCACTGGCGGCGTGAGCGGTGGCGGCGGGCCAGCAGGCACAGGCGCCGGGACGCACACATCGCCGTGCCCTCCAGCAGCGCACTGGCACTTGCAGTCGCTGATAGCCGTCGTCAGCGGAGCAAAGCAGTCACCGTCCTTCGTGCACTCCCCGCACGCGGCAACCGTCGTCACGTCGGTGATGCCGTGGAGCTCCAGTTCAGCCGCCGTCGTCACCAACCGTCCCGCGACCGTCAGGCACCCAGCAACAAACCGGTAGCCGGCGTCAGCCTGCGATAGCAAGGGTACCGACAGCCCCGTCGAGCCCATCGTGCAGCCCGTCAGCGTCACCACACTGCTGCCGTCAATGTTCACAGTATTTATTATGGAGTAATGAAACATCGCACCCACACCCACGTCGTTGTCATGCCAATCCAGCCAGCTTGAATGGCGGACGGTAAAAAAGCTTAGTGAATATATGGCGTGGGACACAGAGCCGCTGTTCCCCACCACGCGCAACACGCTGTGATCCGACACGCTCAATTCTTGTTGCTGACACAGCAGGCTTGTCCCGAAGAAAATTGTATTGTTGAGCAGCGCTAAAACGGAGTGGTCACTCACACTGAGAATATTCATGTACAACAGGTGTTCGTACCCATCAAAGCTGCAGTACTGCACATACAGCGAGCTGCCATGCAACAGCGTCAGCGTCCCAATCGAGTACAACCCAAGCGCACCGTACCTCAAGGAATGAGCCTTGACGTTGCTGACCAGCAGCGAGGATGTAGTCAGCACAACGTTCCTCAGTAACACAACGCTCAGCATGTTGGTCCTAGTTTCAAGCAGCTGAACCTCAAAGGCCTGCACCGCGTCAACCTCCGTGACGGCAATGTCGCAGTGCTGCGGAAGGGCAAGCGCAAACATGACAACGGATGAACGCATCACCGTCTGGCTCACGCGGAT